TAGGGGCTCCTGGCATCGCTCCTAGGAGCAAGGGGGCTCCTGGCATCTCTCCTAGTAGCTACTAGGGGCTCCTCGCCTTACTACTAGGAGCAAGGACGCTACCAGGGGCTCCTGGCATCGCTACTAGGAGCAAGGACGCTACTAGGGGCTCCTGGCCTTACTGCTAGGAGCAAGGACTCCAGCATGCGATGTTCTTCTCAGAAGATTGAGCATCGTCGCTTAAGGACAGCTTCCAAGATCTTGTCAATTCAAGGATGCACCTTGAGATCCAGCAACTTGACCAGGTTTGCCGATAGGCTCCACTCGTCTGGCAGACCTCGGTCAACGACTCTCTCTGCAGGTTATCTGAATAAAGAGCTGTCATGCTGAAGCCACTTCTTGCAAGGCACATTCTTTTGAAGAGTTCGTCGACGCATTTGCAGCCTCACACTTGGCGATCCAAGTAGGCAATTTGGAACAGGGTTGCCCAACTAGATACTGATCGTGTAGATGTCTGATTTGAAACATCCAGAACATCAAATGATCCATCAAACATGTGCCAACACTCTCGGGATACTGACCAACTGGTTACTCCCCGGCGCCTTGGACGAACCAATGGACGACTCAAGCTGTGGATCCATTGTTCGCAGCTGGACCCAATCCTCCTGCAAAAGGCCTCATGCTGCCAAACTAGTCACTATGTAGTGCGATAAAAATGCATCACGGACTCTCCACTATGTCTTAATCTTTGCCAAAGGAACGTTCTGCAGAAACCTTCAGCACCCTTGCAGTACGAACGTTCGCACTTCGCTTGCAAACCTCAAGACGGAAGAGATCACACTGGTTGTGCAGAATGAAATGGGGTGTTCTGCAAATCTGTCAAATGCAGTGTTTGCTGTTTCTTATTATCCCTTGATTCCTTTTCCTTCTCCTTCTTCATCTTCTTCTTTCTACTCTTCTTCTTTCTCCTCCTCCTCCTCCTCTTATTATTCTTATTCTTCTTCTTCGTCTTTCTATTGTTATTCTTATTATTATTGTTCTATAGTATCATGCTTATTCTTATGTTTATTCGTATTATTACTATTATGTGTTTTCTTCTTCTCCTTCGTCCTTTTCCTTATCCTTCTTCTTCTTCTTCCTTCTTCTTCTTCTTTCTTATTATTCATTCTTCTTACATATTCTTACTTCTTCTTATTATTATTCTTCTTATTATTATTCTTCTTACTTCTTATTACTTATTATTCTTACTTATTTGTCTTATTAATTCTTATTCTTCTTATTCTTCTTATTATTCTTCTTATTATTCTTATTCTTCGTCTTACTTCTTACTCCTTACTTCTTCTTCTTCTTACTTTTTCTTATTCTTCTTCTTCTTCTTACTTTTGCTGCTTCTTCTTCTTTTATTATTCTTATTATTCTTCTTCTTATTATTATTATTCTTATTCTTCTTATTCGTCTTATTATTATTATTCCTCTTCTTCTTCTTCTTCTTCTTCTTACTTCTCCTTCTTCTTACTTATCCTTCTTCTTACTTCTCCTCCTCTTCTTCTTCTTCTTACTTCTCCTCCTCTTCTTCTTCTTCTTCTTACTTCTCCTCCTCCTCTTCTTCTTCTTCCTTCTCCTCCTCTTCTTCTTCCTTCTCCTCCTCTTCTTCTTCCTCTTCTTCCTCTTTCTCCTTTTCCTCATCCTCTCTTCCACTTTTGGCTCTTCCTCTTTTTGGTGTTCCTTTTCTTCCTCTGCCTCGTTCTCTTCCTCTTCTTGATCTTCCCTTCTTCCTCTTCCTCTTCCTCTTCCTCTTCCTCTTCCTCCTCCTCCTCTTCCTCTTCTTCTCCTTGCTCTTCTTTCTTCTCTCCTCTCCTCTGCTCGGCTCCTTCTCTTCTCTTCTCTTCTCTTCTCTTCTCTTCTCTTCTCCTCTCCTCTCCTCTCCTCTCCTCTCCTCTCCTCTCCTCTCCCCTCCTGCTGTCTCCTCTCCTCTTGTCTCCTTTCCTCTAGTCTCCTCTTCTCTCCTCTTCTCTTCTCTACTCTTCTTTCGCTGTTCTGTTTCTTTTCGATTTTCTGTTGATGCAAAATAGACCAGCGCTAGGCCCCCCAACAAATGGACTCCGCTCCTCAGCATGACTATTGTACCACCACTGCTGAACTTGCTGAGGCTGGCATTCAGCCTGGAGGTTGGGGCTTTTTCAGACTACCAGTGATAATGATTGAGTTGATTGAGTGCGGCTGAGTCTTATTCAATCATCTCAATCAAGTTCAACAAATGTGTTTCCGCACCGAGACTCCATTTTCCGCCCCTGAATATATTTGTCTCAACCTTGATCAACCTCGCACTGTGCTTCGCACTGAATTCCTTCCAAGATGTGGCCAGTCCCGGCATTTACAAGAAAAACAAAGGCACTTGTGGCTAGTGCATGCTTCTTTCACCTAGACAAGCCCGGCAAATGGCCACACACCCCAAGGTGAGACTGGAGGCACTGCAAGCTTTCCAGCTTGTAGCGCGAAAAGAAAGCCTTCAAAGCGTTCCAAGCATTTGAGGCAACCCCTGTCGTTATGACTATTCACAGCACCCCAGCTGTAATTTAAGCACTGCAATTGATGCATTCATACTTTGGCTTTTCTGCCTTCAAGGACTCAATCACGGACTTCTCAACGGAAGTGGAGCTCTTTGAACTCGACAAGGTACAGGTGCTTCCCTCGGAATCGGAGCCAGTCCTCGCCAACTACCGTCTGTAAACTCAGCCCCAAGGGAAGCCAAGGATACAAAGAAATTATGCTTGAAACCATTCAAATCCACTGGAAGGTCTGTAGTTCTTTGACCTGCTTTAACTCCCTGCTTCCGTGCTCCTCTTCAAGGTCTCCACATCCACCGTGAACTTGATCGCGTCCGCTGCAGCCTTGGTGCGGAGGTAGTAGAGCCCGGTCTTCAGTCCTAACTTCCAACCGTGGAAGTGCATGGAGCTAAGCTTGGCCGTGTTGGCGTCCGTCATGTGGATGTTCCTGACAGCGACCCGTTTCTTCCGACGGAAGAATGGATTCTGTGTTTCTAATAGCAAACATTGTGCCGTGTTCCTACGGCCAGGAGCCCCGTTCGTAGCGTCCTCTTGTTTCTAGTAGCGATGCCCGAAATGCTCCGTTCGTAGCGTGCGATCACTCCTACGCCTCCAAAAGGGTGAGAAGGAGGGGGATGTCTGCCAAGCATCAACGACTGGGACTGATCAATGTAGATTCCACGATCTGCGGCCATGTCCAGGACGCACCTCTGCTTGATCTCCCAAACGGTCTTGTATAGATCCTTCACATCCTGCGAGGTGTAGCCTTTGAGGGGGCCCTTGCCTTGAAGCCCTGTCGATATTCCGCTATTCCAATACACAACTGGAAAAGGAGTCCATTTGCTGATAGAGAGGTTGACTGGGCCTAGCTGCCTAGCTTAGACTGAGACTTAGCAGGGGCTTCAGGGCTGCTTCAGAAACAAAGCTTCTTCAACCAAAGGCTGGGATTGTGTTCCTGGATTTCAGGGGAGGTCGCCCTCAAACTCAGCTTTTCTGGGCAGCTCCTGTGGCAAGTCGAGACGTTGAACACTTCCATTGTGAGCAATGAGCTTGACTCGCATCTCATCATTCCAAAGATCCCGCGCGATGAGATCTTTCAACAAATGGCGGTTCACCTGGACAGCGATTCAAAGCACATTCAACGCCTTGTTTTTGTTCAAGCGGCCCCACAAACGCTTTCTGGCTTCTGGTTCCCAATGAGGGGAGTGGATTGCAACGAGAATGGGATATCTCTGCTTGCCCATTTCTCCCACCTGCACGAACTCACCGGACAACACCCTGCGCACGTACAAATTCTGCGTATAGGGCTCAAAGGACTCGTTGTTCCCCAGAATCCTCAGATGTTGCACCATCCACACAATGGCAAGCCGTATGTTTGTCGACGTCGCATTCCAAAAAACTGGCGGTGATCAAAATGCCTGATTTCAAGGATGCGACTCTCTTCCAACCTATGTTTTCCAACCTGTGTTGCCATGTTTTCCGTTTTCCTCAAGCTAAAAACATAGAACGCCAAGGCTCTGTGCTGTGGAGGCCGTGGGCATTGGTGCGACCAGCAACGAGTTCCGCAGGCCATGGCTGGCGATCTGCGCCTCACAGGGGAGTCTGAAGCAGTCGAGGCGCCGAAGCGCTTCGATCAGGAAAATCCAAGGGCAGATCATGGTTTTCAGCATGTTTCAGCTATGACAATCGGCGCCCAGGCCTTCAAGGCTTGCCAATCCCAACGTCCACTCTTCGGGGCCTTCTTCCAAAGATCAAATTGCAAGAGACCCTTGCTGGCTGGACTGCCTTCGTAAGTCTCATAGGGTCCCTGAATCGCTGCGAGTTCACAGGATGCCTCACAAGCGGCGAAGTAGATGGTTTCGAAGATGTCTTCGTTCAGCTTCTTCGCCTCGTCACTCTCGAAAGGGAGCTTCATCATCATAAAGGCATCTGCAAGACCCTGCACTCCAAGACCCACAGGACGGTGGCGCATGTTCGATCGCCTAGCCTCTTCCACGGGGTAATAGTTCCTGTCAATGACCTTGTTCAAGTTCTTTGTCACAACCTTTGTCACCTCATAGAGTTTCTGAAAATCATATGCTTCACCAGTGTTGCTGGCAAAAGTGGGCAAAGCGATGGATGCCAGATTGCAAACAGCCACCTCATCAGGTGAAGTGTATTCAATGATCTCCGTGCAAAGGTTGGAACAGTGGATGGTCCCCAGATTCTGCTGATTGGACTTTCTGTTGCAGTGATCCTTGTAGAGCATATATGGGGTCCCGGTCTCCATCTGGGCTTCCAGAATCCGGAACCACAAGTGCTGGGCCTTCACGGTCTTGCGACCTTTTCCTTCGGCCTCCAGCTTCGTATAGAGACGCTCGAAGTCCTCACCCCAAAGGTCCATCAAGCCCTTGCCAGTCTCCAGGTCGTAGGCCTCGTTGGGGCAGAACAAGGTCCAATCCTGTTGTTCCAAGACACGCTTCATGAAGAGATCTGGAATCCAAAGGCCCAAGAAGAGATCACGAGCACGTTGCTCCTCCTGGCAATCTTGGGCTCTGCATTTTGGAGAGCAGTTTGGTCATCTTTTCCTGACCTAAGGACTAACACTCAAAAAAAGCAAAGGTAGCTGAACACCCTTTGCTGGTTGCCGCCCTGTCCTTTCCATGATTCTTGCGAAGCTCAATGAAGTCATAGACATCAGCATGCCATGGCTCCAGGTACATCGCGAAAGAACCCTTGCGCTTTCCTCCACCCTGATCAACGTAGCGAGCTGTCTCATTGAAGTTCCTCAGCATTGGCACAAGCCCATTGCTGTAACCATTGGTGCCCCTGATATAGGATCCCCCGGCACGAACATTGGAGATAGCCACTCCAATGCCGCCAGCGGATTTCGAGATCAAAGCACACTGCTTCAAGGTGTCATAAATTCCCTCAATGCTATCTTCCTTCATTTTCAGAAGAAAGCACGAGGACATCTGTGGCTTGGGCGTACCCGCATTGAAGAGGGTGGGTGTGGCATGGGTGAAAAACCTCCTGGACATCAAGTCATAAGTCTCCAGTGTGGCCCTCAAATCCCCACAGTGGATGCCACAGGCAACTCTCATGATCATGTGCTGAGGGCGCTCCACACACTTGCCATGCACCCGGATCAGGTAGGACTTCTCCAAGGTTTTAAAGCCAAAGTAATCATAGTCAAAGTCTCTGGTGTAGACCATGGCCTGAAGAAAATTGATGAATAATGGATACAGTAGATGAATTCGTTATGAAACAATGAACGCATGACGCGAACCAGTATTCAATGGATGAACGGATGAATCAAAATGAATGAGTGTATGCATCAAGACATCGGGCCTTGTCTAACTCACTCGCGTTGGCTTGCACGAACTCAAACACGTCCTCTGCGATCAAACCAGCTGGCCTCCCTTGCTGGTCTACAAAGTCATGCACAATTTTGCAGGTCTCATAGAAGGAGTCGGACGTGTTCTTGTGCAAGTTTGAGACCGCGATGCGTGCAGCTAAGATGGAGAAGTCAGGATGCTTCTGAGACATGTAAGCACACCTCAGCATGCGCTTCCCAATGCTTCAAGTCAGCAATACAACCACATACAATCACCAAATCCGCTCATCCGGTGTAGCAAATGCAATCAGGAAGCCAAAGAAACCCCATATCCGGCTTCATCACACATCAATCTCACACAACAAGCCTCCTTTAACAAAAACTCAAGTGCTTCCCCGCCATCGGCCAAGAGACGTCTCAGCTGCCAAGGTATCAATCTCTGCTGTGGCGATGCCATTGTAGAATCCCTCGATGACCTTCTGTGTCACAGGCACCGGATCGATGTAGTTGGCATCCAGACCTGCGATGGAGAGATGGTGATCGGATCCGGGGTCAAAGGGATTGGCCTACTGTCGTAACAGGGAGAAGGGACCAACTCTATGGTTTGGACAACAAACTCACATCAAATGTATTGTACCATATCATATCAGAATCATATCTGCCGTTTTGTCATGCAGATTTGGTGTGAATGGATGTTGTAATGATTCTGCAGATTTGGGAAGCTATTGATTGCATCACTGGAATGAAGAGAGCTCTCACGCACCGTGGCAGAGAGGTCGAAGGCGATCGGTGATGGCGTCAAACTTCACCTCCTGCTTGCTTCCATCGCGCTTCAGCACATACATCTGCGACATTGCGAGCGTGTGGAAGGTGAATACCCCGATAAATCCACGACAATCCACAAAGGCTTTGTGCCAAATGGCTCACGCGGAACACATTTATACATAGGCACAAAAGGAAAATCAAAAGAAAATGATATCTCAAGCTGCAAGCCCGGACTGAAGACCATCAACTGCCCTGCCTCATGTGCTCGATCGGTGCAATTCTTGGCCTCGAATCGTTCGATTTGCGGTGACTCAAATTGGATGCACTCGCTTTTGTGAATATCACCACCATGATTGCAAGCAAAAAAAAGCCAATCCCTTTTCCCTTTGTCATGCTTTTGCAAGAGCCTGTGGTGTGTGCTCCTTCGATGCTCCCCAACAGTTACTGTCACTTTTAGAACTATACAAACCTCGGAGTGACCCCGGCACTGCTCCAGGTCGCGAAGTTCGTAAAGTCGTCCTGTGTGTGGTCGCTCCAGCTATGCCTTAAGGACGGCTGCGGTTGTCCGGCGCTCAAGCCGGCGGGCTGGCTTCGTGCGGTGCTGGGCATCAATTCAAGGGAATTCGACATGCTATATCCTATACAAAGGAAGAGATATATAAAGGTCTGCTTTGGGTGCGGGGGCGTAGACTGAATCACTTTTGACTTTTTGCCCAAGGTGCACTAGACTTCTGCCAGGCTGAAGTTTGCGGCTTTTGCACATGCTTTAATTAGCTGCCAGACTTCCGCTAGACAGAAAAGACGTCCTCACGATCAGCTCTGCTGATGCGTTGTTGGAATTTCTCCCGCACCACGACGCAAATCCACTGGATCATAGCATCCTTCACGTGCTGATTTACTTGGTCGAAGCCGACCTTTGCTCAACACCGCGAGCGCCACGACCCAACAAACACCAGCAAAAAGCCTTCGTTGCACCCGCCTTCCTCATCCCAAAACCGACAGGCTCTCTTGAGCGAAACTGACAATCGAATGGGGGTACTGACTCAGTCGCCAACTTGCAAGTTCCGACAATATTCACGAAACTCCCTAATGTCCCCCAGCCCTCCAACATTTTCAAGCAACTAACCTCTCTAGACTCTACCCGCTTTTGTTCAGGCTTGAAAGTCATCACATGTCTGCCCAGAAGGTTTGCCTTCACCACCCGTACCAGTCGCACCAGTCGCAGCAAAATTCGATCAGCGAAGGAACCGTGGACTGGATCGTGGTCTTCACCTTCTGCTCGTCTCGAGGATCAAAGGCTCGTGCATCGGCCACGTTGACGTGGCACAAGGACCGGGTCACTTCATCGATGCCTGCGTCGCCACGGGAGATCCTTGCAACGGAAGTGCTGGGGAGACCCGGTATTTGATGGTGCAGAATTATGTGGCCCACAGCGTGGCGATGTGACGTGGTGGTGGCGAACCAAAAAAAAGAGCCAGGGGGGTTCACAAAAGAGAGAGAGAGAGAGAGAGCGAGAGAGGGTTTCATGATGAGGCCCTGCTGTGAGGGTGAGCATTGAACAAAGTAGGAAAAGTGTGCTGGATGGGTGCGACAAGGATCTGCTTTGATAGGGAAGCCTCGCATGCGTCAACTTGGGAACTGTCATTGAAGGGGCTACGGATACAACTGACCAGAATGATAATGATTGTTTGATCTGCACCAGGGGGGGCTTTTCACCAAAGCGTTGCTCAAGTCACTGAAAAACAGTTGTTCTCCTTTCGCGCCGAGAAGCTGCTGCACCTTCCGGCATGATGAAGGTAACAGGAACCTGCAAGGAACAAGCTACGTATTGCTCATAGATGGTCCAGACCCTTTGCAAGTAGACTGGCTCCTCCCAGCTGTCCAAAACTGCCACAACCTGGCCAATCCGTCGCAGATTCGTTTGGAAGACTTCTTCCAGATTGTCACTGCCGGTGGCAGACCCGTCGACAATGATGCGGAACTGGTTGTTCACGAAGAAGCACATGTAGAAGACGACGTCCTGCATGTTTTTCACAAGCAATGCTCCGAACGTTTTTCTCAAGCACATCCTCTGCACCTCTACGAAAGGTCTCCTCAACTACAAATTCCACAAGCAATAGATATATAGTAAGCGTAGCAATTCCTACCCCACAAAATCCGTCCAAATTAGCCCAGCTGGAGACCCCAATAGCAAAATACAAACCGGGACAAAAAGAAAAATCTGGAAACAGCTGCTGTTTTCAACACATCGACCATCTCTTCCTTGGACACCATCATCACATAACCGCGACACCATCACAAAATGACCAGGGCACCATCAAAACATGACCGAGACACCGTCACAACATGATTGGGACACCATCACAACATAACCGGGACACCGTCACAAGGTGACCGGGACACCAGCATGACATGACCGGGACACCATCACAACATGACCGGGACACTATCACAACATGACCGGGACACCGTCACATGACCCGGACACCATCAAA